TCGTCTTCACGGGGCATGTCCTTGATCCGACCAAGTGATCGGCTTCAGAGATAAACTCAATCCAACCTGCACTAGTTAATCTGCAACGACACAGACTGCTTAAAACTGCTTGAATTGCTTAGTACTAGAAGTGTTTTATTGCTATATACTTTGGTTTCACTTTCACCCTGGATTTCTTTGTTTTTTTTCGTTTGTTATTAGTGATTTCGTCTCGTGCCTCCATCTTGTTTGTTGGTTCTTTTCAAAATACTAGGTAGCGTATCCGTACGTTGCTACGGAATAACTACCAATTTATACTAAAAACACACAGAACGCACGATAAAATAACAATAATGTTAAATTAAATACCAACGTTAAAGTGACATTTAATCTAAAAAGCAAAGTTTATAAATTTAACAAGGAGTGCGCGGCGTCGCAAGCTCACAAACTCTAGAGCTTCCAGAGATTGGGTTGAATCCAACCTATAGCCTCGGAACCCTGCATCTTTTCTTGGACGGGCTTCACTTCGGATGCGCCGGTAGCAATATCAACAATCTCCAGTCGATGAACTAAGTCGTATGGATCCCCATACAATGGCTCAGAAATGTAGATTTTGTTCTCCTTGTACTTGGATACACGTGTTCCACTGAAGCTTTCATTGAAATATTTAGACACGAACAGTCTCTGATCACCGATGTCCCTCACCCTAGATCACTCCGGCGTACGGTCGTGGAGGTTGCACTTGTAGATCGCGCTGCTGTAGGTGAAGCTCTATGTCTCGTGGAACGTGCTCACCATGGTACCCACAATGTGCAGCTCACCGTTTGATTCCAGGTAGCTGCGGTGGCAGAGCCCCGCAGGTGGCCACAGTGATGGCAGTAGCATCGCGGTTGGAGTAGCACCGACGGCGTTGCTGCTGCAGATGGAGATTTCTCCAGTGCAGTCGATCGCCAAGAACTTGTCTTGGCAGTGGACGATGGACCCCACGGAGAACTCCAGTTTGGTGTCGAGCAGCGTCCATGCGCTATCGACTCCAACCCGGCAGAACGCAACATCCGTAGAGCACCCAAGCATGGCCATGGCCATGCACTCGCTGCCGGCGGTGTCAGGCGGCGCCGAGAGCACGATCTCACGGAAGAACACGTCCCTCATGTCTTCCAGCTTGATGGCTCTGCCTGCGGCATCCGCGTCCCCGTAGCCGTTGGTGGGATGGAGGACCCACCGGCCGTGGACCCTAGACACACGTTCCGATGAGGACGCCGCCACGACGTGTTCGCCTGCTGGCGGGAGCTCAACGCGGGGGGTACGGGCACCGGCGAATGGATTCAGCAGCGTCACGGACGCTGCCTTGTCCATGAGCGCCAGCCACCCACACGAGGAGCCGCACGCCACCTTGTCGCGCACGTCGGGTAGCGTCTTGGACAAGACCTTCTTCTTCGGGACGCAGTAGAAGCCGACGCGGTCCGAGTCAGGGTCGAATGGGAGCAGCAGGAGCGGCCCAAAGGTCGCAAACGGGACGGTGGCGCGCCATGGGGAGCAAGCGGATCGGAAGGATGCCGCGTCGTGGCCTGACGTGAGACGCTGCCTGATGGACTCGAGGAGATCCTCTGGCAGGCCGGATCTCTAGTCAGGGAGAGGTAGGGACCTTCTCTTAGAATCGGGAGGCTAAGCCATAGAAGACAGATGACATCAACTATGGCTCACGTAAGAAACAGCAAGCGAGGGTGATGGAACACGTGAGCGTGAAACCAAATAAAAGGAGGAAAAATTGTCCCTTTTGCAAATGCAAAGATGGGAAGTAATTAAATGTAGGCAGATTTGGCAAGGTTCTCAGAAATGCAAAGAAGTTCCTTTTGTCTTAATTCTCTTTCCTTCTGTGTTAGTTCTCTTTCCTTTTGGTCATTGCCATATATGCTGGTGCATGCAAACATGCAATGTGTATATGGATAGCACAATAATTTTCTACTTCCTATTTTGCCGTGATTCCTCTATATGGCATGTAATATTCAATCAAGGAGAATGGCACGATCAATCAGTAATTAAGATGTCGGGGGATCGCAGGCATGGGCAGACGGACGAATCAAAACAAATGCCGCACCAAAAAATGTCCACACTTTGTTCTTTTTAGTTGTAGGAGATAGCGTGGTTAACTAACCAGTAACCGTGATTGGTCTGGTCTTTAAGAAAACACTACTGAGTTTCAGAGATGAACTCAGTTCAGCCTACACTACTACTCTTCATTTGTGCAATGACACAGACTGCTTGAATTGCTTAGTAGTAGTAGTGTTTTATTGCTATACTGGCAGTGGGCTAGTGGCAGGCCAGCACACTCGTTAGTCGTTGCGTTGCCATTACTACTGAAATTCAGATTCTATTTGCACATGAAAACGAACATGGTCATACAACACTTGAAGAAAGGAGCACAGACTGCATCACCATAGCTATATATCCTAATTAACAAGGCATTACTGCTAAAGCAATTACAATCATGCTCAGGAGGGAAGTTAATCTCCTCCTATACTTCCTGGTATTGTCTGTGCTGCTTGTATGTAATGCAGACATCGTTCTCTCTTTGCGTTCAGTTTCAGAGGGGATGCCTTGCAGGATGTGTTGTCACAGCTCTGTAGTAGCAGCAGGTCCTGATAATCTTCATTGGACAGTGTCTCGGCCCTCCTAATTGTTGTCCTGTCCTGCAGATCAGTGGTTTCATTCTCATCCTTCATCTCTTCATCCCTGCGTGCTGTCTGATTGAAGAGATTGCAAATGTTCAGAAGAGGCCACTAGTTCCTTACGATCACTTATCCAGGATCTGTCGATCTGATGACAATAAGCCGTTGTGCATTGTGTCAGCAAAAGAAGGATACATTCAGGCAATGAGCGAGCCGCAGGAGAGCACCAGGGGACGACGGCGGCGGAGGCCACGAGAGTGGCGACAGGCTCAGTACGGTCTTATACGTCCATTGGGCTTGATTGCTTTAGAAATATGGTTCCAATCGAGTGCAAATCCAAGCTGATTGTATGGAGGTGGTTGATACAATGCTAGGTGGAGGTTTCTCAGCTACAGCTTGGGCGGCAATATATGATGAATGTTGTCTGCTCTGGGAGGATTTTGCTGCAATTTCTATTAGCCACTGTAATAGGCTAAGAGAGTAATTCAGTAGCTCATGAGCTGGTTAGGCAAGCAATGGTAGAGGAAAGATCTTGTGTTTGGATAGATGACCCCCCTGCATCTATTCGCCAATTACACGTAAACGATGTAACTATCTTCTCGACTCAATAAAGCTTGCCGAATGGTTTAACCTAAAAAATACATAATAATGCATAAGTTACGTAATTTAGTATGGATTTCATATGCCAAAGTAAAATAAATCATGCATTCCAAACATAAACAGCGGTTGTGAACGAGAAATATAGTGTTTCTAAAATACGCAAGGGACTTCTGAAGTACTTCCTTCGTCCTGTAATATAGTATATTATAGCATTTAAAATTTGTCCTGAAATATAATGAATTCTACAGGATAAAAACCAGTTTTGCATTGAATACTTTCTATTTATTGTCCGGGCAACATTAATTATGTTGATGATAGCGTCCGATTAGAAAATAAAATGAGAATGCGTCTTTTATGTTTTCTCCTAATTTATAAAAAAAATTCTAGAGACAGAGGGAGTACATAGCCAATTCATAGGATCGGAAGTAATTTATTTTAGCCGAGGATCGACTGCTTTTAGTATAATATTTATTTAAACCGCAGGAATCAATATAATAAGATATTATAATCACTACCGGGAACGGGAGCTTTACCGTGTGCCTAGGGAACTAACTTTGCCGAGTGTTTTTTATCGGGCACTTGACAAAGACGTTGCCGAGTGCCAAAAAACACTGGGCAAACATTTTTCGCAAGAAATAAAAAAACAAATTGCCACCAGCCGCCGCCCACCATGGCCACCACGCCACCACCGACCGCCACCCACCACGGCCACTACGTCGCCACGCCCGCTGCCGCCCCACGCTGGACGCCGCCCGCCACCACGCCACCCGCCGGATCCGGGAGAGGGGAGGGGCGGCCGCCGGGACGCCGCCGGATCTGGGAGGAAGGGCCCTGCATGGATCTAGAGGGGCGCTGGGAGAAAGGGAGGAGCGGCAGCCAGGGAAGGAGGGGCGGTCGGGCGGATCCGGCCGGGAGGAGGGCCGCCGCGGATTCTGGACGGGAGGGGGAGGCCACCAGTGGGAGAAGGGAGGGTGGAGCAAGGCGTCTTGGAGAAGGGAGAAGGGGGGGGTGATATGCAAGGCTTGGAGAAGGAGAAGGGAGGGGCGGGCGGTAGGCTGTCTGGGAGAAGGGGAGGGCGCGTGGAAAAGGGAAAGGAGGGAGGCAGTCAAGGGAAAGAGGAGGGAGGCGGGGTTTTATTTCCAGAAAAAATATTTTATTTCTTTGTCGAGTGTCCTAGATCTGGGCACTCGGCAAAGTTTTTTTTTATTTTTTTCTTCTCCTTCTTTCCTAGAAAAAAGATTTTTTTCCTTTACCGAGTGTCCTAGATCTGGGCACTCGGTAAAGTTTTTTTTTTATTTTTTTTCTTCTCCTTCTTTTTCAGAAAATTTTTTTTATTTCTTTGCGAGCGTCCTAGATCTGGCCACTCGGTAAAGTTTTTTTTAATTTTTTTTTCTCATTCTTTCATAGAAAAAAGATTTTATTTCTTTGCCGAGTGTAAAAAAAAACACTCGGCAAACCCCTCTTTACCGAGTGTTTTTTTTACACTCCGCAAACCTCCTCTTTACCGAGCGTTTTTTTTTCCGAGTGTTTTTAGGGCAGCACTCGGCAAAGAACTTCTTTGCCGAGTGTCTGATAGAATACACTCGGCAAATATAAAAACAGTTGGTAAATTTGACATTTCCGGTAGTGAATGTAATGCATATACCCGAATATCTGGCATGTCAGAAAAACTGCACGTAGCCCACTTTTTTTCCCAGCATGTATATTTATTTATGCACAAGCGCACATGATACAAGGTCACGTCAAACGGCCATGGCCGCCGCCGCCGCAAACGCAGCCCGGGATGGGCAAACAGCCCTCGCGCTCCGCCTCGCCAAGCACCTCGCTCCCTTGCCTGAGGACTCCACCGCTGTGGCCACCAATAAGAACGTCGCGTTCTCGCCGGTGTCCGTGCACGCGGCGCTGGCACTGACTGCCGCGGGCGCGCGCGGCGCCACGCTGGCGCAGCTGCTCGCCTTCCTCGGCGCGCCGACGGCCGAGGAGCTCGCCGACTTCGGCCGCCGAGGTCTGGGTGGACGCCGCCCGCGGCGGTCTCACAGACGCGTTCCGTGACGTCGCCGCCGAGGTCTACAAGTTGGAGGCGAGAAACGTGAGATTCACCGAGGAGGTATAGATATAAGTTGCTTCACCACCACCCCCCCAAAAAAAAAAAAAAAAATTGTTACTGAGCATGAACCTGCTCGATGGAGGGCACGTCGGGGCAAACTTCATGGAGGACTTCAGGAGGCTGGACGTCGCCTGCATGGACGGGTTCAAGGTCGTAAAGCTCCCTTACAAGCCCGGCGGCGCTGAGTCCGGTGGAGAGCCCGCTCATGGTGGCCAGCTCAAGCGCCGCCGCGGGCAGGTAGCCGCAGAGTCCAAGGCCACGCCCCCGACGGAGGCCAACGAGAGCACGCAGCAGTACTCCATGTTCTTCTTCCTCCCGGACACGCGTGACGGCCTCTCGACCATGGTGGACATGGTCGCCTCGTCGCCAGCGTACCTGTATGGGATATTGGCCGAGATGAAGGAGAGGCCTGTCATCATCAAGGTGCCCAAGTTCACGATCACCTTCTGCTGGGGTGACCTCAAGGGCGACCTCAGTCGGCTGGGCCTCTCGCTGCCGTTCTCGCCGGAGGCTGCCAACCTGCGTGGCATGTGCAAGGGCGACGATGGAGACCAAGAAGTTGCCGCCAGCACACGACTGTCTCGGTGCCTGCCCCGAGAAACCAAGGTTTTAAATAGCCGGCTATGCCATTTAGCTTTTTTGTCAAAAACAGGCTATAGCCGGCTATAGCGGACTATAGCGGCAGTTAAAGGCTAACTTGTACATAGAAAAACTTAGCTAAATCCTTCTCAAACAGCTATAGCCAAATATAACGGAGGCTATAGCCGGAGATTTAAAACCTTGCGAGAAACTCCCACACGAGGGTCACTTTCCCGTCGTCCGTCAGAGCGTGCCTGACGCTCGCGTCGTCGTAGTTCGGAACCTGGAGGTCGAGCAGCGAGTCGACGTACGGCCAGATGCCACCGCCGCCATCTACATTACCGCTACACAACAGGGACCGCTGGTGCCACCTTTTCGTGATGAGAGGGAGGAGGAGATTCGCCATGCGGCAGCGGACGCCAAGGAAGCGCCACCACCGTCTCCAGTGCAGCAGCCGCGCCGTCCTTGAGCTGCCTAGCACGGGGGCGTACACCATGCCATCAAAGAAGTCCTTGAGCACCCGCTGCACCGCGCTCACGTCGCGCGCGTCGAAACCGTCGTCGCCGAAGCACATCCGCATTCGGTGCTCAGCGGTAAAAACGAAAATCGGGATTTTCGGTGATTTTCGGATTTTTCGGGTGCAAAAAATGCTCAAACTGATTTTTGAAGAAATAAGAAAATTTGGCCGAAAATCGGCAAAAAAGAAAGTCCAAAATTAAGCAACAACTAAAAGGCTGACCAAGAGAACAATTCTCATGGATCATGTAAATATCCCATAGTTAATGCTGTACAAGGTTCAGTTGCATTCAAGTACTAATCTACTCAGAACGAGACATCCTTGATAGAAAAATATAGGCTTTGTGCATATGAAATTGCAAGATCGAAAAACAATTGTACAGATCACCTGTCGAAGCATTCCTCTTGCCTACAGCAGCTTTCTTGGTGGCTCCTCCTGCTGCACCGTCAGCATCGGCTCCTTTCCCGTGAGCATCGACAGGGAGTCTTCCCCTCGTGTCATCCATGTACCTGCACGCAGTAAGTAGTCCGATTCAGTGCGTTGACAAGAGAAGCCACGCATCGATGTGGCCGTCCTGGTACAAGAACCTGATGGCGAGGTCGCCCGGGGCAGGGGCTGGCTGGGGCCGGGGGCGAGGTCGCCCAGGGGCTGGGGCTGGGGTAGAGGCAGGTGCCAGGCGGCGGCGGCGGCGGGCGGCTGAGAGCCTGAGAGTCGAGGAGAGAGAAATGAATTTGAGAACAGCTAGGGTTTCAGCTCAGATATTATATAGTTGGGAAGGAATTACTGGGCCAGTCCGACTGTGATGGGCTAAAAAAAAATTCAAAACAGGCCGAAATGTTTTCACCGGTTTGGCCCTTTACCGGACCAGGCCGATAGAAACGAATTTCGCCGAAATTCGTGAATTTCAGGCCGAAATTCTGAACCATGCGTACGGCCAGATGCCACCGCCGCCATCTACATTACCGCTACACAACAGGGACCGCTGGTGCCACCTTTTCGTGATGAGAGGGAGGAGGAGATTCGCCATGCGGCAGCGGACGCCAAGGAAGCGCCACCACCGTCTCCAGTGCAGCAGCCGCGCCGTCCTTGAGCTGCCTAGCACGGGGGCGTACACCATGCCATCAAAGAAGTCCTTGAGCACCCGCTGCACCGCGCTCACGTCGCGCGCGTCGAAACCGTCGTCGCCGAAGCACATCCGCATGAGAAGAGTGAGCACGGCGGAGTGAAGGCTGTCGCGGATGACGACGACGACGACGTCGTCACGGCCACCCCGGCAGCCGGAGGAGAGGCTGGCGACGAGGCCGTCGACGGCCTCCCGCTGCAGCGGAGCGAGGAGGCCGAGGCGCGACGGGTGCAAGATGCCGGCGGTGAGGTTGCAGCGGAGGGCGCTCCAGAGCGGGCAGTGCGGCACGGTGGCGATGCTGTAGCTGAGGTTCACGCGCTCCGCTCTGACGAACTTCACGTGGAATGGGGAGACGGGGCGGTCGGAGAAGGTGTCGGCGTGGTCCACCAGCATGCTGCGTGCAATGGCGCGGTCACGGACCTCGATCGTTGGAACTGCGGCGAAGCACGAGCGCTGCGGCTGCTGGTTCGCCGGAAAACGGCAGTGAACACTACAAGAGCAAGGCCAGCCATGAGGAAGAAGAGCTCCATTCCCTACGTTGGTACTCCCACTTAGCTGAACGCCTGGAGCAAACATTGTTTCCCTGCGCATATATAGACAGATGCATCCACTGGCAACCTAGTAGCAAAGCCACCGCGCTTTGCATGGGCATTTTAAAATCCACGCGTAACCACTACTAACCAAAGCGTTATTCAAGATAAAAAAATACACGAAGCAAACAATAGATCTAAATTAGAACAGTACCCCAAACATAAAATCAAGATAAAAAGTTTGTAAAACGAATCTACGTCTCGCTACGAACACACAGTCTCGAAAAGCACTCTAATCGGAGTTACGGTGAAAAAGATACATCTACCGAGAGATCTACTCATAAAACTATTAGCTAATGTGTTTTAATTATATAAAAACATATATAAGATATTTTATATATAATATAATTTAAGTCAAATTTAGGTTTAAAATATAATATTAAAGTAAAACAAATCATATTTTATTTATAAAACCCAGTTGCATAATTATTATTTAAATTAGGATTTAAACCATGAAATTTCAGAAATCGTGACATGATAAACACTGTTACTATCGCGTAGATCTCGTTGCTACGAATCTAACGCAACTTGAATGTGTCAAAACGGAGTTAAAACGTAGAAGATATAACAGGATTTTCTTTAATAATAGATTAAATCTAATCTCGAATTTTAAAAGTTGAAAACACATCTAACAGTGATATAAACACGTACACAACGTAAATACGAACCTAACGCAATTTGAACGGATCAAATCGGGTTAAAACGGAGAAGTTATGGCTAAAACAAAATCAGTGGCAAATCTGTAAATAAGTGAAAATGTATTTTGGATCTAAACCGACCAAACTACGCTTTCCAAAGAACAAAACGTAATCTGTGATTACGCTTTGGACTGCGGGTTAATTTGCTAAAACAGAGGGGCTCTTTTGCAAAAAGAACAGCGAAGGTATGTTTTAACCTGAGCCATTGATCTAAAAACAGATGGCTCAGGATGATGTGTATTTATATTGTATTTCAGGGTTTGTTTTTTATAGGAAAACAGCCACAAATAGAGCATGACGTTGGAGATGATGTCATCAAGCTAGCTAGCAGATTGGAACAGCGCAATGCATGCATGGCTCACGGCCGGTGACGACCAGAGCTCGCCGGAGCTCGGTAAAAACAGCCCAGAGGCCATGGTTAACCAAACTAAGAGCTCCGGGAGACAAAATGAAGGACTGCGTGCTCACCTAGGTGTTCATCACGGGCGGAGAAGGCTTGGCGGCGTCGTGGGGCTCGAAGAAGAGGAGGAGGACGGCTTGCCTGCATCGGCGGCGATGAGAACAACACAGAGAGAAAGAGAGAAGGAGGGAAAGACGTTGATAGCTTCTTCACCTATACCCGAAGCTCGACAGCAACTCATGGACGTCGGCACAGCAGCGAACGGCGTCTTCCGTGGCGGCGGGCGGGCATGCTCTGCTCGGCGAGATCCGAATGCGGCAGCGTAGATGGATGCAGAGGGGTCGCGGAGCTTTGTAAGAAGCTTGATGTGGAGGTCACGCCAAATCGGAAGGAACCAGGGCGGAGTTGGAGCAGCGGCGGACTCCCGGCTCGGCGGCGAGGCGGCGTAGGGGCGATGCAGCAGCTGGAAATCGGTTTTGGGGAAAACGGCGCGGGCTCGGCTTCGGTATTTATGAGGCCGGGCTACTTGAGTCGCAAGGCAAGGCGGCGACGGGATGGACGCGGACACTCGGCGCGGCGGCGGAGGCGTCCGGTTCGGTGACGGTACGAGGAAGAAGAAAACCGGCTGACATGGGGGCCCAGGGTGTCAGCAAAGCATGGTGGGGTCGGGCTGTCAGAGAGTGAGCGCAGGCGCGAGGAAACGGCGCGTCGGTGCGGCTTGCTGCTGCACTAGGCCGAAGGAGAGGAGAGGAGCGAGAATGGGCCGGCGCACTGGCGTGGGCCAAAACCAAGGCGGGGAAGGATGGGCCGCCGGAAGCGGGAGCAGGAGCGGCCGGCTGCTGGGCTGCCACGGCGTATGGGCTGAAGACAGAAAGGGGGGAGAGAGGGGATTTTATTCTTTTCCTTTTCTATTTCTCTTCTTTTACTTCAAAGCCATTTTAATTTCATTTGCAAAAGCAATTTAAACCATTTGAAGTTTTCAATCAAAACCACTCAACCAATAAATTAAATGCAAGGGCATGCATGCACAAACATGTTGCTAAATCATATGATGAATTTTAATGAAAAAAATTTATTTTCCTATGTTTTCATGAGCACATAAACTCCAAATTAGTTCATTTTAGCTCTATTTCCAAAAATTCAAATTTTAGGGTGTTACACTTTGACCTTTTCATTACTCGTTACAAAAATACCCTTATACATGATGTTTACTTTGGTCACAGACAAGCGAAAATGCGTCACAGTTAACTCACCATGACAATCGAAAAAATGTCATGTATCCCACGTCATATATTTGTTGGCCCAAATTGAGCCATCATAGATTAACATTTGAGTTCATCATGAATAGTTGTTCGTCTATTATAACCAGCCCAGATCCAACCATAGTCACGAAAAAGAAAATCCCATATTAGTGTGAAATCATCACTGCATTATCATGCAGCACATCTTATAATACACCAATCATACAAACAAACATTGATTCTTTCATTTATTGGCAAGTACGTTTGAACTAAGATTTCATCTCTAGAGAGTCTAAAATAAACAAACAGTAGTATCCATGATTCCACGAGTACTTCAATTGGCTTGCTGTCCATATGATGTGCTACCAAGCAAACTTCAGAAGCTTCCTGAAAATCAATATGAATATGAAATGAGTTAGTTTTGAGCAAAGATTCTAAAAACAAATGCCATCTATTTATTAGGATCCTAGTGGAATACAGAAATAATCAAAGTAGACTGTTCTAGGATTGCACTCGTTAAAATCTGTGTTAACTAATAAAACTGATGGTTGTAGCTTCTAGGATTGCACTAGTGAAAATCTGTGCTAACTAATAAAACTGATGGTTGGGTCAGTGTGCTCTTAAAGTGGTCCAAGCAATCTCTGATGGCCTTCTCAATGTTTCTTATTATTGTAATTAGAGTCGACGTATCCAGATGTGGTATGAACTTTGCTAATATCTCAGCCTGTCCAAAATTACTAATCAGATAGGAAGTTACGGTATAATATCAGCTTAGATGTAGTTTCTCTTATCCCCACCAGTGTCTAATCAAAATCACAAAGCTACCATAAAATAAGTGATATAGGAGTATGTAAGCCACAACTCATGTAAAATGAGCTATGGACAGCATATGCTCAAAAGGATATTTGGGACTAACAGGACAAAGCTATGTTAGTAAACTCTATTTGAAACTGTTTGTGCATCGAAGATACCTCTTCTTTTGAATGAACGTGAGACTTGTGAGTTCCATTCAACTGCTTTGCATCTTTGTCATAGTCACTGGCCAACACAGATATAAGCCTACGCAGTGTGTTCCTCCTGAACAGAAATATCACGGAGACACCCTTCTTGTTCAAATAACTAACTATATCTTCAGGATTTTCCAAGATTCCCTGGGAAAACACAATGTTGGAAGTTATGACCAGGCACATATTTAACATATGGTAGGCGTAAGCATAACTCCAATCATTCTAATAAAAATGAGCAGGGCAAGTTTCAACATGGATCATAATTGTTAAGTGTCAACGAGCTTGGATGGTGAATTTTGCTTAGTACAGAGTTTTAACTTTTAAGAACTACAACCTGTAGGCATGTTAGTACTTGGCAGTTGGCACATAGCCACATAGGCCAAAGCTTTGAGAAAAACATCCATATATGCAGAATGATGAGTTGAATCATAGCTACAATTCTTACAGAATCCAAACTTTGGTAAGGAAAATAGATCATATAAAGGACTACAGCCTGTAGGCATGTTAGTACTTGGCAGTTGGCACATAGCTACATAGGCAGCAGCAGTAATAATTCATCTGAAGCTAGAGATCAGATGCATAATGGAGCCAGACAAGATAGTAACAAGCACCTCCCAGAAGCACTTTGGTTAGACATTCATATCTGAATAAACAATGAATTTATGAAATAGGTGAGCTCCATGCAATTGACGGCTACAATAATTATAAGTATACGCAAAACTAGATCCCAAATCCATATACCCAAAACTACGACAGCTAAAAATTCAAGAAGACCACAAATATGACAGCTTCCCAACACTAACATGGATCTAAGAGGCAACCCTAACCCTAGATCTCCAATCAATATACCTGAATTCGATTCACACATTAGTGCTATGCCCTGGAAATCGTAGCAACCTAGCGCGGCCAGCACGGCATGGCCATGGCGCAGCGTGCGGCCAGCAGCTCGGAGAGGAAGCAAATGAGGCAGCGACCGAGAGATCTGGACTACTCATACCTTGATGCCGCCGCCGTTCATAGATCGACACAGCCCCAGCAGACGATGACCTACATCCTACTCCACGAGATCCGACGACCGCATCACTAGGGCGTCGTCGCATCGAGGCCATCCTGTTGCTCGCGCGGCGGCATCAGCTGCCCGTGCCTCGAGGCTCGTCAGGTTTTGGAGGGTCGCGACCTACTGCCCACCGGGGCGCGACCCTCGCCCGCTGGGGGAGCGGCCTCTAGCCTATCGGGACGCGGCCCTCCGCCGCTGGGGCTCGGCCTCCTGCCTGGATCCAACGCCGACGGGGAAGGGGGTGAACGGTGGACGCAGGTGGTGGCGGATGGAAAGGGGGTGCGGTACATGAATACGTGTGGATGTGGGAGGGAGGCCGGTGGATTAGGTTTAGGAATTCGCTTTCCTTTATAATTTTTTATTACTCACAAGTCGGTCATAGATTTACCATAGAGTTGCCTAAATAATCTGTGAGGTCCATCCATGTAAACAACTTAACCAATCGTCATAGATCTATCACCTCAAGAATGAACCATCACAGATGACAACATTCTATGATGATTTCTTAAAAGGTCACTGGTGAACCGTCATGTATAAAGGTATTTCTTGTAGTGACTGCTAC